ATTATATATGGGATTGTACGATTGTATATCCACTATGGATTTCCATGGATTTCCCAGTTAGGAATATAATACGCAAATGAATATCGTATAGTATGATGGGATTGTAATGGTAGAATCATGGGATATATATATAATATGTATTGATCAGTGGATACGGCTTGTAAGTGGCTAAAAACCGGGGTTATAACCCACAAACAGATGGGATATTCCACTTAGGACTAAAATGGACTAACCACGGTTACTAACCATTTACCAAGTGGGATGATCGTCTAAGTGGGGAAGTTCACACCAAAACTGGGACCACACTAAGGAAAATGATGGGAAGCACGCGAAAATCAAGGCTTTCATTGAGAAAAACAGTTTTGTTTTGGTGAACACATTGGATATGACCAATGAGCATGGGAGTTTCATCGGCCACACATGGTTAATGGCTGGGACACATGCATAACTCGCATCACAACTGGGATAGATGGGCCATGGGATACACCCCAGGTACTAACATGTACCCATAAGCCAAATGCAACCATATGAAACCCAGGGATCATCCTAAAAGCAAGAAAGCGAGGATGACACCAACATCGGGGAACATTGAAGAACAACTGATGATGTATAGAACCATGCGACACGGGGGTAAACATGGTTTACGGAACAAAAACATGCAAACATGGTGATACAACCAATGGCAATGGGGAAAACTGAGTTGCATTCCAAAGAAAATCCTCAGGAAACCCATCGGTTTCAGCATCCAAACCTATGGGGTAGATGATGCACCCGGGGATCCTACGAACTTGGGATCACGACGAGGGACATGGGTAAAACTTGAGGGGAAACGGAACAGGAACAACCATGACAACAGCCATCACCATTTCAGCACCAAAAATAAGTGATCTCTAGTCCTTCTTAATCTTCTTACACATCTCGAGCTGCACGAAACTCAGGTGCCCGCCATGTATGTGGGGTCGATATATTTGATCCTCAGGACATCAGGGGCATCAATGCCACGGCAGCCATCGGTTTGGTTTCAACCCCATGGCACTAACTACGAGATGCAACGCTGACTGAAACTATGACATGGATTGAAATAGTAATTCCATCCCCCGAATATGAAACACTCCCTTCGGTGGCCCCAAATATGTTATTTGGCATCCCCTAGTCGCTAGGGTGTGTTTTATATTTATCATTTTGGGGGTGGATGGGTTGAACATAGCTGAAGTATATTGAAGTATATGCAGGTTTCGTGGGTCGTGAGCTTTTGGACACCCACATCTTGAGGCCACGGCGTCAGTGGTTTGCCCTTCTCCTGCGTGATCGATCTTGGACTTTTGATGAGGTTTATATACTTTTGTGCGTCTTATCCCTCCATTCCTCTCTGGGATTTCTAACTTGTCCGCATCTTTCTCAAACGTTGTGTTCATTCCCGTTTGCATGATGCTGCATTGCCCCATCTTTGACAAATTTCTGTTCTGCTGATTTTTGCTGGCTGTTGCTTGCCGGCCACATGATTTCTTTTTTGAACATATTTCACCTCTGCACCTCTGTTAGTTCAACTTAGGGTACCCCAACGTCTCCAATTTTTTTCTCGGTGTTTCCAATGCCAATGGAACAAGTATACTCGCCGATGGTGATTAATTATCATACATACACACAGATATATATATATATATACACTCTCATCAGGACAAAAAGGAATCCAATAAAAACATTTTCCAAACATTCCGAAGCAGTTCTTGGTGATCACTCTCTGACCGCCCGGTCCTTGAAACGGGCCAACACCTGGTCCCGCAGCCACGGGCCCACGTCGCCTCGCAGCGGAGTTGATGACTGGGATGAGATACGAAATGCCGCAAAGTCTGGGGAGAATGATGGGGACATGATGGGGAAAGGGAAATGATGGGAAATGGATGGAACATATTAGAGATCAACTATCTCTTCGAAGATGTGAGATATAACCTGCCGTGTAACCAATCATTTTCTGCAAAAGACATGTTTCGATTGTACAGGGAGTACATGTAAATCTAGGCTATGAATCTTTATGATGGGACTAATTGCTTCAATTTTGGCACACCTTCCATGACCTGGCAATCTCGCGTACATCATACTGATACTCTTAGACCACCCCAGGTCAAGATTAGGATTTGCGACTGCCACTTCTGCATGGCATCTGATCATCCGTGACGGGGATCCTGGCCCTTCATAAAGATTTATCCCCCCTAATGATGGACAGAAAGATCAAGAATTTCTAGTAGATCTAATCATTTTGGGCACCCATACGTATATGAACAACAGGATATTTCTTGGGGGGTATCACTGATGACAGGTTCTGTTTTGTTGAATCATGTTGAACCTCAATTCGTAGCTCTGGCTCCGCGTTTCATAGTCCTTCCCAACTTTATCCAACTTTTTTTTCGTCAATATCAACCAATGATTGTCCCAACTCTGCCCCACTATAGCCCAGCATCACCCCATTAATCCCATTCCCCCTATTAAACGCCCATTCTATGGTCCCAAGTGTGTGGAAATCCCCTATGAAACCATGGCGACTCTGGGACCTATCCGGCACCTTCCATGGCCATACCGTACTGGCTGAGGGATTGCTTGGCGCCATCTGCCACCTGAGCCCAGTTGGACCCTGAAAATAACGCCCCGACCCATGGCAGGGACTATATATATATATACAGTATATCAATTTGCTGAACGGTAAATTCGAAATCTATGGCAATGTATGGGTTAAATTCGAAAGCTATAGGATTCAAAAAAGTGTCCTGTGATTCTTTTCCTTTGACCTCAGTACTGAGATCAGGCTTTAATTTGGGATAGTTAGCCTCTGGTAACACTTTGCTATGGAAAGTCCCGTCCCCAGTTTTAATTAATGTTTGAATAGGTAAATCATCGAACTGGGCCATTATATATATATAATTATATATATAGCAAATCGTTACAATAAAATAGGTCGTCATTAGTCACAGCCAAAATAACTACTGTACCAACCGCAATTTGCAGCGCCAAAAAACAACACAACATCAGACCTGGATGGAGTAGCAGGCCTGGTCCTCTTTCCGCCAGCCAAAACAGCGATTTTCATGGTCAAAAAATACTGTGGTTTCCAAAGTCATCCAGGATTTCAAAAATATGCGCATCAATATCTGTATCCACCGCTATCATCCCCCAATATTCACCTATATTCCGCTATCCATCTTTATCCACTTTTATCCATCCTGATTGATCTTTATCCATCTCTGTCTATCTATCTGAATCTGTCTATCTATATCTCCCTCTCCATCCGACTCTATCTATCGCTCTATCTACGTCTCTCTCTCTCTCTCTCTCGCGCTCTATCCATCTATCTGTCAATCTATCAATCCATCGATCCATGAATCAATTTAATCCATCGATCCATCCATCCATCCATCGATGCATCTATCTCAGTATCTCTCCATCTATCTATCTCTGTATAACTATCCATCTACCTCTCCATCCATTTCATCCATCAATTTCTCTGCCTGTGTATTTCTCTAATCTCACCCAACCCAACCAATTGGTAGGCAGAATTTCAATTGTATTTACAAGACGTAGCTGATCCCCTGAATTCCCCACTGGGGATCCCTGGCCACGATCACGGCATAGCCCTTGCTGCTCATGACCTCTTCACAGTGCAGCAAGACTTTCTCCAGGTCAATTTCCATTTCGGGCAACAGACCTGCTGGATGGCTTGAGCCGTGGCGGGTCAGGTGGTGCAGGTTGTCCAACGGTTTCTCGCTGGATCAATAGGGTGTCATCCTTCAGGTTGGGGGACCGCAGCTAGTGATAGCTAGTGATGTCTATATAAACTTAATTAAACTATTATAAACTATAAACCATCCGATTTCATCCGATTTCGATGAATTTTGGGCTGCTTTTCTAGCCAGGTCCAGCATGGAGCTGGGGAGACCCGACAGATATCCACATTGCGGGCAGCCATGGTCGCGTTCATCGCCAGGAAGCCACTGTTGGCGCCCAGCAACTTGACCTTGTCAAATGGCAGGACGATGATGGAACATGGAGATGATAGATGATTGGTGAATATTGGTGATATGGCTATTATATGGCTATTATATGCCATTATGGTTTCATATGGTTTCTTGTTATGATCATTTACTTATTGATATGGCTGTGATGATGATGATGATGATGATGATGATGATGATGATGTATTCATTTTCCAACGGGACGATGCCCCAGGCCCCCGCGCCATGCCAATACAGTTGGCGTTGCAGGTGGCTTCCACATAGGCTGCGCTGATGCAGTCCCGAGCCTGGCGAAGCGTTCAGAAGACACCCTGGGACCCAATGGACATCCATGGACAATCCCTAATAGATAGGTATCTGCTATCGATTTATTGTTGTTGTTATCGATTTATGATTGCTACTATTGTTATTGTTACAATTATTGCTATTATCCTTATTGTTGTTGCTATTGTCACTATTGTTCCAATGGCTTTACATAAATGCACACACGCACACACACACATATATATATAATACAATATAATCATATATATATATATTATTACTATTACTATTATTATTATTATTATATATTATATATTATAAATCTATATAATATACGGGAAAGACATGGGAGAATGATGCATGGGATTCTCCAGCAAGCCATGAACATGATTGCCAAGCGCTACTAGTATTTCCGGATATCCCAGCTGTCATCATCTCAGACAGCTGGGGGAGATTTGAAGGGTGCACAGATCCTGGATACTCCTGGTGTCCTGTAGGTCAATGCGAAATGATTTTCAACACACTCGCACAAACCCATCGATCCATCCGTCCATCCATACTACCCTCTGGTTATGTCAAAATAGCTATGGAAAATCACCATTTTTAATGGGAAAACTCACTATAAATGGCCATTTTCAATAGCTATGTTAAATTACCAGAGGGTACCTACTTTGTGACATAACTTACACCACGACATTGGCCGAGGTCATCAACGATAAGCACCCCTTGCAATTTTGGCACTCTTGACAACCAGATTTCGATCTCAAAGTTGGCATTCGCAGGTGAAACAAAATTAGAGCACCTGTACAAAATCTGTCCCTGAGAATCTGTGCAGCTTCACTGGAAACGTCGCTGGGCATCGTACGGGGCATGCTGTGGGCCGTTCGAGTGGCCATTCCGGCCATTCCGAAACTCATCGGCAGGGAATTCCTGGGCCTTTGCCTTGCAAATAGCCTGGAGATCCTGATCTGCACCTGTCTCGGCCACTTCCTTTCGACACTTGGCTTCGCTGAAGATGTGACGATGGCAGGCTGACCATTTGGCAAAACAAGCACTACACTTGGGGCAGGCATAGTTTGTCACTGCCAGGGAAGCCAAAGTTGCCTCACAAAACTTCGGAGCGTCTAAAGGGATCTGCTCTGAAGCTGAACCCTTTGGATCCTGATCAGTGGCTCCTGTGCCATTCGAAGCTGCATCCCCAAAACCTTCCACTTCCTGAAGGCCCCAAGGCGTGATATCCCTTGCTTCCTCTGGAACTGAAAGGCCTGCTGCAGTGCCATCCCAACGCACCGACCCGTCCCAAGAGCGATGGTCACGTTCCCACGTCCGATCCATGTGATAGTTCTCCCTGCTCCCATGGTCAGACTGCCAGCACTGATCTTTCGGAGATCCCCCAAACCATGCGCTGGAATTGCCATTCCACCTAGGTTTGTCATAGAGATCACCTCCGCCATACCACTTCTCTTGGTACTGCCATTGGCCCTTGCCACCTGCGTCACCTTGAGCTTGATGAGTTTCGGAGCTCCTCCATCCGTGATACGCCTCACGCCAGGGCTGAAAAACCTCCGATGTGGGCAAGCGAGTTCCATACTCATCAAAGGTTCTGGGCACACCTGTAAGAACCACTGTGGTCTTGTACCCATCACCGTGCCAAGCGCCCTTGCCGTGCGCATTGCGGACTCTTTGGCTCATCTCTCGTCACGTTGGACGTTTGACAACACGGATTGGTGTTGGACGGGGGTTGTCAAAGTCGATGGCCGATGCCTGATTTTCAAAGACTGACGTTTGTAGATGGACAAGTTTGAGCCCATCGATTGCTCGAGAGACCAATGACAATGCCTCAAACCACCAACGCTCAACCAACTGTCCGCTATCTTTCCCTTCCACCTTCCACGCCGAACGACCATGTATGATTTTTGGCCTTATGATTGTGTTCTGGAGGGGAGGTTGCAAATAGCCGATATAATTAATTATATACTAAAATAATGAATATTAGTGAATTCGGTTGGAATCGTTCTGATTTGCCCCTGTTGGTTTTTCCATGGTGTGAACCCCTATGCCCTATTCAATTCAGTTACGAGTCACCGCCAAATACTGTGGAAGCAAGCGGACTGATTCGTTATGGCCCAGCATGAACCATGTGGATCAAAGGCTCGACTTATGATGGAGACACTGTGGGAACATGTGGGAACTTGGAAACGGTGCTTCTTATCATCAATTATTAGTGAGCTTTCTGCAAAACTCTCCCTGGTCAGCCATTTGACCACCTTAAATCTCAGAGTCTCCCTTGTGCCCTGCGCAAAGGAAACATCCATTTGCATATCCATTTGCTGCCCCAAAGAGAAGTATGGAACCATCAATGGAACCATCAATGGATTGGTTTAAGGGAAAATCTTAACCGGAAACCATGGTTTTTACCATCAACATTTAGGGTTTTCCTGTAAATTTTCCCATCATCCAATTCCATGAATCAAATTTGGTGAATTCTTCCAGGCTATAGTTCTCCGCTCCATGCCTCGGTGCATGCGGTGTCAAAGCCGAAGCTGGTGTCGACCATCATCAGGTCGTTGTCCACGGTGCAGGGCACGGCTGGATATGGCTGGATAGTGATAGATGATATGGATCATGATAGATGATGATAGATAAATGTATGGATGGACGAAAGTTGGAAAGCTGACAATGGACATGGAATTGCCAAAAAAACATTGAATGCCCGCATTTTCGTTTCCTGGAAAATCATTCCACAAACGGTGCAGTTTCCCTTTCCGGGTTTTGTGTTGTGGGCGCTGAAATGATACCTTTGCGACATGGGCCTTGCCCGCAGTTTCCATGGCTGAACGGTTCACACTGGAAAACTTGCATTCATCATTCAACCAACTATATTTGTGAGAAATAAGCGAACACTGGGGGTACTATTGCAAATGAAACCACTTTTTGCGGGTGGGCCCCCCAAAGAACCCTACAGACAATTTTAAGTGGAAAACCATTGGTTTTTTCGGTATCTATGTTGATCGAGTCGAGAGGAAAGTCGCCTGGGTTTTTGATCCGGGGTTTGGTTTTTGTCCCTGAGAACCGCGCCAATGAACATTCATGATCGATCGACTTCAAGACCTCAGCAGAACATCAGCCTGTTGGGTCCACCACCAAAATGGGGGACGTCCCATTTCATTACAATTTTCATGGGAAAACATGGGAAAACTCTGATGAATCACTGGACTTTGGATGATTTTGGGGTATCCGAATTCTCCAATTTTCAATCCAAGCCCAGTTGGAATGTGGCCGCATGACCTCAAGATTCCACCATATGAAACACCCCGCTTTTTGAGCTGCCCACCGAGGCCAATTGCAGGGCGCCCTTGTGAGCGCCATCGCCACCAAGGATAAAGAACTGCTTGCAATTGCGCCTGGGCATAGCCCAAGGGGCCAATGTGCAGTGCGGCATATGTGCAGCTGAAATAGCTTGGAATATATACTGGTTGGTGGTTTCAACCCCTCTGAAAAATATGAAAGTCAGTTGGGATGATTAGTCCCAATATATGGAAAAATAAAAGTCATGTTCCAAACCACCAACCAGTATAGTTGACATATGTTGAGGTGGATGTCTTCACCGGAGTCCCCTCTTGGAAACGTGAACGTCTGGAACGTTTTTTTAAGCCCAGAACTGGAAGAGCATCTGGGCCATGTCTGCATGCCGCGCCTCGGACATGCACAGATCTTCATACTTCAAATTCATTTGCAATTCTGCTAGAAACTCAACAGGTAAACCTGAATAATCATGCCATGTCGAGGCTTGCATGGTTTTACATGCTTCAAAATCATGCCATGAAATCTGATTGCAGCAAATTTCTTGAGCCACATTCTGGAATCTATTGCAAATTTGGTCAACGAGCTACATAGTCTCCCACTAAAGTATGCAGGTGCACATATCCAATTGCTCACCTCCGGATACAGTGTGTATCCTACCACGTCCCAACTAGTTATATGTATTACTTGTGTACATCTGTGGGATTCTGTGGGCTTACACTTCTTCACATATTCAGTATTACGCCACATGTTTTCCTACCCCCGTGCCTCACCACGCTCGTTGGCCAAAATGCTGCCGGGCTTGTTGTGGATGTCCTGGGAAGCGGCAGCCAAGAGACACATCGGAAAGAATTCGGTCGTGGAAGTATGTTGAAGTCTTTGGGTGAGAATGGGGTACACCCCCAAAAATTATGTTTCAGTCTATTGTTTTAAAAAGGAAACTGATGACGCAACCCGGGCCCACACATTTACCGTTTTTACCCAGTTTTACCTTTTTTTTTGGTGGACACGCAAGCGATCACAGGAGCTTTGAATTGTGAAACATGTTGAAACCACAATGCCATGAGACTTGCCCATTTTTGGTATTGTACAACTATAACCTATTATTCTCTCTCCCTCTCCCTCTCTCTCTATCTCGGGAGATCAGAAGTCAGCTGAAGGCATTTAGATATTACCCTCTGGTTGTGACTAACATAGCCGTGGAAAATCACCATTTTTCAGAACGGTACATCATCTCTCTAGATGGGGCCATGGTTTCCAGTCCGCAAACTGTTAGTTTCCCGCAGGCCAAATCCCATTTCATCCCATTTATTTGATCATTAACCCCATTATATCGCATGAAATCCCTGTTGGTTCATGGAACAACCACCATTTTCCTAGGGAAACCCATGGTTTTCAAACCCTGCGCCATCGCCAACTCCACGTGTCTCTCCACGATCTCGCCGCCTGCACCAAGTCATGCGTGAGTTCGATCCAGTTGGCATCCTCCGATAGGCCGCTGAAGCCACCCTGCACTCCGAAGACGTGGGGTACCTGGTTTTTTTGGCGCCGCTTCATATAGAGATCGACATAGATATGGATAGACATAATATCTATCTAATCAAGCTACCAAGCTATCAATGTACCAATCTACCAACCTATCAATGAAATCAATGAAATCAGTAAAGAATCAATCAATCAACATCTATCTCTCTATCTATCTATCTACCTAGCTAGCTATCTATGTATCTATGTATCTATGTATCTATGTATCTATGTATCTATCCATCTATCTATCGCTATCTATCTATATCTACCTATATCTATCTATATCTATCTATCTCTATCTATCTCTATATCTATCTCTATATCTATCTCTATATCTATCTCTATATCTATCTCTACCGACCTACCTATCTATCTATCTATCTATGTATGTTAAATCTATCTATCTTCTAGTAAGCACTAGCTATCTATCTACTTCTATATCCATCTAAATCCATCTATCTATATCTAGCTATATCTATCGTAGTTATCTATACTATTATCTATATCAAATCTATTGTCTATAGCCTATCTATCTACCGTCTCCTCTATTTAGGTATCGACGTATATATCTATGTCTATCAATGTCTATCTATGCCTATCTATGTCTATCTATGTCTATGTATCTATGTCTATGTATCTGATGTAATCTATCTAATGTAATCCATCTAATTTAATCTAATCTATCAAATCTATCCTATCAATCCTATCTATCTATTTGTTCTATCTATTCTATCTATCTATCGATCTATCTATTCTATTCTATTCTATTCTAATCTAATCTAATCTATCCATCTATCGATCGATCTATCTATCTATATCTCTCTCTATCTATCTATCGATCGATCTATCGATCTATCTATATATCTATCGATCTATCTATCCATCCATCTATCCATCCGTCTATCCGTTGATCTATCCATCTATCTGAGCGTTTTTTAATCTAGCATGAAATAATGTAAATACTGCAAACATATCCAAATATCATAAAACTGGGTATGATTAGATATGCATCTACAACTAGGTGAGCTAATCATCGTGATGAATATTGGTGATAATATGCCGCAGTGTCCCAGTTCTCCATGGATAGCAACGGCAGATGCTCATCCCAGGAGTTTTCGCCGCGCACGCCGTAGGACTTGAGGGTATGGAAAATGCCACCTCGAAGCCGCTGGAGAAACATAGAGATAAGTCGCACATCTATTACCTAATGGTGTTTAATGGTGATTTAATGATGTTTAATGTTGATTTAATGGTGATTTAATGATGGCTAATGATGATTAATGATGGTTAATAATGTCTGGTTGGTGGTTGACCTACCCGAAAAATGATGGAGTGAGTTCGTCAGTTGGGATGATGACATGCCCAACTGAATGGAAAAATAAAATTCATGTTCCAAACCACCATTTCTCCCATTTCCGATATGCGCCGCCTTAGATCTCGAAGGCGACCCCCTTTCAGGTGCCGGACTACTCACATGATGTGAAAACAACCTCAGGAAATCCTTTGTTTCGTTGAGGAACTGGCAAGAGATCGATTGCTTTGGACTGCCTACGGTAGGGACCATCCGTATGAGAAAGAATCCAAGCATCAATCAAATCCAAGCGAGCAATAGGCCACGGGATGGCAATACAGCTCGAAAACATGGCAATCATGGTCCCAACTGGCCGGACATAGCTGGAGACGACATCAGCACCACTGTGGCGCAGAATTTCTCGCAGCACATTCCCAAACCAACGCACACGGAGCCGAAATGGCCTTGTAACCAACCCTTGCAGAGGAAAGTCAGAGCCATCACACCACTTCTGAAGTTTAAGAGGCCCAATTTCTCCACTGGAACAAGCAAAGTCAATGTACAACTGGGACATAGCTACCCATTGAACCGGCCCAGTGAACCGGCCCAGTAGCACCATGAAGCGTGTCCCAAAACCAGGAAACAATCTTCCGAACCATTGCATCTCCATACCATCGAACTGCTTTGGACGGAAGAGCCTTCAAGGGAGGCAGAGGAGTCCAAACTGGCACTGTAGCAGGAGTATCAGGAATAACATCTGGAGGGCAAGGTGCCTCCGCACGCAGAACTGTCTGGCTGATCCGGAGCAGGACACATTGGATAGCGCCATTCCATCTGTCAACCAACTTACATGCATTCACATGCCTATGCAACAACTCCCAGAAAAGTGAAAACCTCATCATGTTGGCCCGATTGGCCGCATTGTCGGAAAAACGGTTGTGCAGAAAACACCATTCTTCAAACCCATTCCGAGCACTCTGAAGGGATCTATGTGCAGCTACCTTAGTGATGTCAACCATGCCCTGGCTCAACAATGCCAGATCATTGGAAATTTTCAACCACAGGTCAGCATTCGGCGAGTTAATCCTGACCAAACCCCCCGCAATCAGTTTCCTGAGCCTGTTTACCACAGCCTGACAATCACACCAAATCATAATGGCAACTTGGTGCACCACTGCAAACCTGACAGCACGAAATACTGCAAAAAGTTCAGCCCTCATGGAAGTCTGACGGATACCTGGGAGGCTCCCACTGTCCAAAAGGATTGGTTCCGCCACTTGGCTTGGGTCAGCCACAACTATGGCCCAGGCCGCAAACCTTGCATCAGGATATTGGGGGTTGTAACAGGACCCATCAGTAAACAGATGGACCACCTCGCTCTTCTGGGCTGACCAGGCAGGAACTGCAGGAACATCAATGTCAGCCAACAAAGAGAACCATTCTTCAAATGTCGAGGGACGAAGAGACCACCCATATGAAACTACACACTCAGGCAATTGCGGCAATGCAACCCAAAGGTCATGGTCAACAGAATTTCTGCAATCCGTGAATGCATCACATTGCCAAAACCGATGAAAACGTGAGTCACTGCAAGCACAGTAAGGACAGGTATCTTCAGCAACTTCTTGGCAGTAGTGTTTTCCATCCTGAGTAATATGTGCTCCATTCAAAATCTTTCTGTAGCAGGCCCGGTCGCTTGGAGAAAGCTTCTGGAGCCAGAGCCTAGTCTTCACTGGGTCAATGCATTGCAAGTCCTTCAGACCTGGTCTGTGGTGGACTTTCGCAGCAACAACCTTCAGCCAAGCCCATTGCATTCGCCAAACAAGTTCATCAATAGCAATGTCAAACAAGGAAAAGGGTCCAAAGTCATCCACCAGCATCATGCGATCAACATGCCAACCCAGGGTCTGTACTCGAGTGAGCAAAGTCGCAGAAATGCCATTGGAGGCAAACTCCGAGTTCCCTTGCACCATTGACCATAAAACTGTATGCACCACATCTTCAACTCCGCAGTCTCGTACCATGCGAAACGTTTGAGCAATGGACCAAAACTGCGGATCGGTCTGTGGGGTTTCTACAAGACCCAAATGAAGAAATGCATTGCAACCTGAGCCATCTGCGCACAATCCTTTCATTGCACCTGTACGCAAACTATGGAATGTGTTAGAGGCAACTGAGGTGGCGGTGATCGCATGCAACCCCCGGGGCCATGCCCCCGCACGGAGGGCCCTGACTTTGTGTTCATAGGCACACGCAGAAAGACGGAGTCTGTTCCACATAGGCATCAATCCACTGACTCGTTCTTGTAGGGTTGCATTAGTGTGTTTTCGAGAAAGTTGGACATGAGCTCCTAGGGAGCGGCAACTTGAGACAACGGTGAACCCCTGACTCCTGAGCAACTTGCGTCCACTGGCAGACACAGACCAAAAGCACGTCTTTTTGAGATCCAATTGAAGGTCCAATTCTTTTGTGAAACGGTCAAGACATTGGAACAGGCCGACCATGGCACTAGGGTCAGTTGTGATTAAGGTCCAATCATCCACGTATGAAACCGGCTGACACAAGGGAAAGAAAGCAAGGTGCCAAGCATGGAACAACATGTCAATAAGAACCATACCTAAGCATGAGAGACCGTCACCTTCAGGCAAGCCAGTCACACTGTAGGCAGCTTTGGTCAAATTGGGCCCCAACTGAAATCTACGACCTAAATCAGACAACGCTCCAGCCCAGGCAGTCAAGACTCGCATGGGAATGCCAACCAAAGCCGCAATTTCAAAAATTACAAACCGAGGCAAGCAGTTGAAAGCTTTCTGTATGTCCGCAAAAATTCCAGAAAGAGAGACATCATGTGCAATGGAGTCCTCTACAGCCCATAATAGTTGGCTCCAAACCTGCCCGGCATACCGGCTTGGACGGGACCCATACAAGGTAGACGGGAGAATACTGTCAATCGCCCGAATACCAAGCCTCGCATGATGGGAACCCCAGATCCTGTATAACAGGCCCAACACCGTAATCGGGCGATAATCCATCACGCATGCAGGAGCATCATTTTTGGCAAGGCAGGAAACCTTTCCTTCACGCAGTTGGCAAGGCCACATTCCAGAGCTTTCAGCCTCCGAAAACATCAAACAGAAGGAAGATAATGCGGAGTGAGGAAGACTTTGGAGGTCCACCACTGAAACACCATCAAGGCCCATCGCAGAAGATCTTTTACGCCTGGAAATGGCATGAGCTAAGGATTCAACATTCAGCGATTCCCATTGAAGTTCTTGGCGTGGCAAGTGATTACGCGCAAATTGAATAATCACCGACCATCGTTCATGAGGAACATTTCTGTGCTTGTCCCACCGCTGTTTCCATGCATCAAGGAAGGCACTGGCAAGGTCTTCCTTAGACCCAGTAGACTGCAATTGAGAAACTGACATCCCAGGATCAATGTTGTGAAGGGACTCAACCCAAAGACAATCCTCTTCAGCATGAATGACCGACAGTTCAGACCCATTACAAAAGACAGGACGTGTAGTCACCCACGGCTGTGGGGGCTCAACAACAATGGCATTACTGGCATGGTCAAGGTCAACAACCGCAGCTTTCAAAGGTCTCAAAAGAAAGTCAACACCGTTCTTAGGGTGATCTTTGATGTCACTGAAAATCAAATTGGGATTCCTAGCTCGCCGGAGTCTAGCATACTGCTTGGAGGAGGATTTGAGTTGGTTCTCAAGAAGCCGAACTTCGATGACCACAGTCTCAAAATTTTTCTGAGCACAAGCAGGATTGGGCGGACCAGGCGGCAAACATTGGACAGCATCAAAGACCTTGGAGGGACAGGCCTCCCACCATGCAGCAAATCCCCCATGAAACCCAGAAGCTCTAACAATGGCAGCCCAGATGTCACACGCGACATTGGATTCACTCCCATGGACATGGACATGTCGAACATAAGCTTGGAGGCGGCGGGTTTGCCTCACCCACTGGGCATGACGGAAGGAGGCACCATGGAAGTGAGGGTTAAAATCACCATTCCTACCAAGCTTAACAGGGGGAACTTTACCAACCTGCATTTTGGACAGCTTACTGGTTTGGGCACGACCTTTGGTATGGCGACCAGGCACAAACGGCAAGGCATGTTCTGCAGACTGTTCAAGTTTCTTCCACAATTGAGCATACTTTTCAGTTGGCGATCCATCAAGGGAATACCAGAGGTCACCGGGCACAGTCCACTCCTTGGGCCAAGGAAAGGCAGAAGGAGATCTCCAGACGTCACGAGGTATACATTGCTTCAAGCGCCGAAAGGACCCTTGCAAGAGGGCATGGTCTGGCCAAACATCCCAAAGCACCTGAACGTCAACCAAAAGGGCTTGAAGTTCTGCCGAAATGTAGCAGAAATCTTTCCTTGTACGATGCTTGCAAGTGGCTTGTGGTTGAATTGCCCAACGATCAAACGCAAGGTCTTGAAGATCACGAAAACCAGCTTGTTCAAGCATCCGGAACGACGGTAACTCATGAGGCAACACGTTCCAATCTCCAGCGACAAAACGAGGTCCAGTGGCAAGGTAACACACCGAGCTAATCACTGACTGCAACAATGCTTCTGTATGCCTGAGACGGTTGGGGTACAAATGACTTTCTGGTTCACCATAGACAACTCCACCAGTGAGCCATGCATCATCAACCAAGGTCGTAAATGCAAGAGCCCTTGCTGACTGCGAAACTTCGTCTGGCCAGTCATGTGGCAGGCGGCGGACCGGAGTCCGGGACAAGACACCTACGCCTTTCCAAGTTCCAGCATTGGTTTTGGAGCTTGGTACAGGAAAGCCACCAAGAAATGGTTGAAATGGTGACCCAGCAAACTTCAATCCAGCATTGAGAGACCCAACATCTCTGGAACTGAGATGAGTCTCGGAAAAGGCCCAAACATCCCCATGAGCCATATGGGAGGCCACGTAAGGTGCCTTACTACGCAACCCTGATGGGTTAGCAGCCCCAAGAACAAAATTGTCATCAGGACCAGGATTTGTGGCTTCCCCGATCCTAAGCAAAAGAAAGAGCACAAAGACTCGGACAGCACCCCCAAAGCGGAGTCTACACAGTCTCTGTGAATGGCACACAGCCAACCCCAAAAATTTGAAGGGCTCCAGGACAGTAATCAGGCAAACCCAGGCATACCAAAGTGGCAATACAAGCCAAAGAAGAGCATGAAACCATCCCGACCCAAAACTTCACTCACCATCTTCGCGCGGCCGTTTGGCCAGGAGGCCCCTGATATGCGACAACTGCGTCTCAAACATCGCTTGAATGTTCTGACTCTGTTGCTCCAGCTGTCCATGCATCTGCTGGGCTTGCACATTCAGTTGACTCTGGAGATTGGAAACGTTCTGGTTTTGCTGCGTGGAAAACTCAACAAACTGTGCTTCCATCTTGCCATGTTGTTGCATCAAGCTCTGAACTTGACCTTCAAGAAGTTGAAGGCGATCCGGAACATCATCCTGCTCCATTGC